GAGGGAGGGAGGAAGGAAGGCAGTTAACTACTCCAAGGAAGTACGTTCAGACAAAAACCCATCACCCTCCTAGTCAACATATTTACCTGCCCTGGACTGACTTACAATATTCCAACGATATCTTTTCATATTTCCTTCCATATACCTTAAGTTTGTACATATTTATTATTATATTGTAGCCAAGTGAGGAAACGGGACCTTTTTGTCTCATTGGTGCGTCCTTAGCTTTCTCTCAATAAAATGTTTGCAGGGTTTGTGTGCTCGCTCTTTAAAAGTTGGAAGGTGAAAATCTTGAGAAAATAAGTAACCAACACCCAACCCTGACAGAGACTGGGGCTGACATTTGCAGAAGGTCTTGCTTCCTATTTGATTTCCCAAACTTTGTAAGAGAAGTAGGTATGTAAACCAACCCAGTTTTACCTCCTTATGATACTTAAATACAGTCAGATTCTTTGGGCAGAGATGCCCACAACATCTTTGCATCTTCAAAGGATCTGTAATGCCTGTTGATACCAAATAGCTGCTACCTTGCAACTGTAAAGATGATGCAATGCTACTGCTCTGATGCCTCTAGGTGCTACAGATGGGAATTTATCCTGATGAATTTACACGGTCTCAGTAGGGCAAATAGAACCCATTTAGTAGATGGAGAGGTTGAGTAAAGACAGACTCTCCTGACCTATCGAAGGAGTCACTTGTGGCTCAGTGCCACCATAGTTACACCCCCTCCATGCACCAGCCTGATTTAGCTATTTGGCTTTATCATCTTTCTAACTGCTCATAACCACTGACAAGAGGTTTCAAACATAGTCATTCAGGGCACCATTTCCTCTGACTTCTCTGGCTTCTTCCTCTCTACTCTCTATTTTTGGATTAACAGAAAGGTCAGGATGGCCAGATATCAGTGACAGGAAGTTTGGGACTACAAAATAATTCCTGGAGCCTGTGTAACTCGGAACTCCTCACAGGCTCTGCTTTCAGTGTGTCTTAATAGAGGTGTGAGCAGCTAATCCCTTGATTCAATGAAATCTAATTTGAATGCCAGGGCTCCACCAGCCCACACATCACTTTCCATCTTATAGATTATTGGTGTTGACCCACCACTATTATGCCCCATAATGACAAGCCTCCTACCCACGAGAGAATGTGTCTACAAGACACCTACATGCAAACTTGTATTCTGTCAGCATCAAGTTCTAGTCTGTCACTTGTGGGACTCACTGAGGAGTAACTTGGATAACAATACACACTCTTTTCCACTCCCCGATCTGCTATTAACTTACAGAACAATCCAAATTTCAAGTAATTTGCCTTGTGATCTCTTTTCTGTCTCTATCTCCAAAAGTTGCCAAAGTGACTTAGCCCTGCACTGTCCAGGATGACAGCCACAAGCCACATGTGGCTACTGTGTGCTTGAAGTGGCTTACCTAATGTAAGGTGTGTGCAGTGTAAAATATACACCATATTCCAAAAATAAGATAATGAAATATTTAAATATATCAATACTTCTTACATTGGTTAACATGGAAATGATAATATTGGGGCATTAATTAAAACATCAAAATTAATTTCATCTGTTTCTTTTTACTTTTTTATGTGGCTATTAGACATTTATAAGTTATAAATATGGCATATTCTCTATTTCTATTGCACAGTCCTGGCCTAAGACATTTCAATAAATCAGAGTCCAAATAACAGTAGCTTATGTGTGAGAGGGGGGCAAAATCCTTCATCCAACCATGAGCTTGGGTTTTGACTGCAGAAAGAACAGCCCATGACCACACCCCACATCATCCCCTTTACCCCATGTACAAAAAACGCACTGCAGATAGAAGACTAAAAGAAATACCACTGGCTCCCTGGGGCTGCAATTCCTGTCACCCTCTAGAATGGAAGTGTTATTTTACTGAAATCATCAAGAAAGTATCTGAATCAAATTCTGACTTCCAAATTTTAAATGATATCACTACTGATTATAAGTACTCGACAGTCAGTGCTTGACGCAGCTGAGCAGCAAAGCAAAAGTGATTCCTAACTCTTTTTACTCCCAGGGAGACAGACATGGCCAGAGTCTTTATGTGGCCTTTCCAGAGATAGCGCAGCCCTCCCTTGCTGCTTTGTGTATTTGTCAAGGAATTACACTGTCAAATCAGGAACCACATGGTAAGCTAATACTATTGTAAAAGCTGGTCTTTGGAAAAGAAGCCATACCAAAACTTAGTAATGGAAAAACCAAGGATCATAAGGACTACACAGAGAGGAATTACAGATGTCACGTGAATGTTACTGCATGTTACTGAGACTTGCTGAAAGAGAGGAAGGACACAGTCTGGAGCAGGAAATGCTGCCCAGGGCAGCTGAGTGTACTGCTTGGGTCAGCAGTGGGAGGGAGCCTTCTCGGAGTCTGACCCCTACCATCATGTGCCCACAGGGAGACTTTACCCAGACCTTCAACTCTTAATGAGTCTTAAAACTAGAAGAATAAATCAGTAGCAAAAGTTTAACCATTAAACTCTTAAAGACACTTATTTCAGCAAGGAATGTTTGCTAAATACAAAGTAAGCCTATCTTGACTTATGCTCCCAGATTTCACGTGGTGGCTGCCGGTCACTCGTGTTCCAAGTGAAACTCATCACATATAATATGTGCTCAAAAGCTTCTTCACTGAATTGTATTTGTATTTCTTCATGTTAAAAATAAAAGACAGCATTCAGAAATGCTCTTTTGTAGAATTTCCTTATCAAGAAATGGAATATGCGTTAGCTAAGCATGTGATGTATGGAATTTCTGGGATCTTTTAGGTACATATTCTAGTAAGTGGGTTTGGGTTATTTATTTAGTTAGTTATTGGTTTTTGTTTTTTAAGACAAGGTCCCACCTTGTTATCCAGGCTGGCCTTAAACTCTAGACCCTCCTGCCTCAGTTTCCCAAGTGCCGATTTCTATATTTTGTTTTTGATATTGCTTCTGAGCAAATCTAAAGCAACTCCTTGTTTCTGGGTTGCACATACCCTCCAACCCAATTAAACTATTTATTTCTGATGCTCAGCACCTGCCCCCACAATGCTAGATAGGGCCTGAGTGGTAAGGGGATGGTACACATTCTTCTGCTGGAAAATGAGGTCATTAAAGAGGATGGAAGACTGAGTTGGAAGAAGAAACTTTAGTTCGGTTTTAGATCTGTTTTCTGAGGCACAGATTACAGGGTCCCCAGCATCCAGACACTAGTAACAGCCATGAGCACTTTCAGGATGGCCTCAATGTGCAGCAGATGGGACTCAGGACTAAGATGTTCCCACCAGGATGATGTAATGGGAGCCATTCTCATGGTGAGTTCTGAGGTGCAGGTGGCAAATAGTGCAACCAAAAAAAGACGACGAAGTGTGTATGCTATGGGGTTGGAGACCTGCTAACTTTTGAACAGAATGATTGTAAGCCATAACCAGAAGTCTCATATGCCTTTTATTACAATGAAACATGTCATCCAATACCATTAGCTATTTCTAGTCACATAGATGATAAAGAGTTAATATGTAATGCCATCTACCAGCATCAGCTTTTGGTTTTGACAGGGTACTGTGTTATGTAAGATGTTATCGTTGCAGGAGACTGGGTGAATGGGACATGGAAATGTACTATTTTTGCAATTTCTTGTGAGTCAAAGTAGTCCCCCCACCCTCCCACCCTCCCAACAGGCTTCTGGCTCCACCTGCCCAGAACCCCTCATTCCCCTGGAAGGGGAGTGGCTTTTCTTCACTCTAGATCCCCCTGCCTCAGTCATCCAAGGGCTAGGGTTACAGGCTGAACTGTGGCTGTTCACTGGGCCTGAGATAGAGTGCTGACTGCAAGGGCTTTGAGACAACCAAACTGGGGTCTAAGAGTACTGAGTGGTGGCACTAACTCCTACCCTGGATGTAGTACTGAGCCCCTGTCATATGTGGCCTGTGACTTGATGGAGTCTCAGAGTTGGGGGACTCCAATAGGGCATGAGTGCCCTTTCCCTCCATGCTAACCGAGCTTCTGCCTTCTCATTTTGTTTTCAGGATGCTTCCATTGCACACAGATTCCATATGATGAGAGAGAAACACCCTGAAAAATTCAACAGCAGGTAAGTGCTCTGCGTGCGGGCTGCAATCACTGCCTCTCCTGGTACAGCTAACCAGACTAGCCTCTCACCTGCTTCTACTAAAATGTCCTTGACCTGGGTTGCTGGGGGTCTTTCGCTCTCCTGCCTTGTTGCTGGAAGGAAGGCTTCCATTTCTAAGGGAAAAAAAACTGTCAGAAACCTGCCACACCCTGGCTGCCTGTCCTTTCCCTTCTCCAAGGATCTGTGAAGAGGGAGATGTCAGGGACGGCTGGAGGTGGGAGCGCTGGCCCTTGGGTGCCAAAAGCCATTCGGTGCCCTTGGCCTCCTGGAACGCCTTCCTGGGATTCAGAGGCTTCCCTCAAAAGCACAACTACCCACCCACCGGCAGCCCAGTTACAGCAAGGCTTTGGAGAGTGAAAAGGGCTCAGCTGGGGCCTCAGATCCAAGAAGGTGCCAGCCCCAGACTTGGGATCTGAGGGCGGTGTCTCTCTGCCTCCCAGACAGCAGAGGGCAGCCGCAGAGAGGCGCGGTCATGGACCACAGAGACTGGAGCACACCCAGACCTGGCGCCTTGTGTGCCCTCGGATGTCAGGTTCAAAACTGAAAGAGAAAACCAGATCATCTGCAAACGACCCCACACCCTTCTTGTACAATGAGGGAATTTACCAGAACTGAGTTACAGGCATACAAAGCCCCTGGAATTGTCCGGTTTTCTTTTCCCTTTCTTCCTCTTTTTTCCGCTTTATTCTCACGGCTAATCTGTCATTCCCCTTCCTCCTCATACTATTTTGAAATGACCACTGGATTCCACTCCCAGCCTCAGGCAGTGAGGAAGGAGCGAGAAGAATGATTTGGTCTTGATTTTTGAACCTGAAGGGATTGGCCTTTATTTGGCCCACAAAATTCTCCTCAGAGCAGAAGTTGGGTGTTTTCAGAAGGCATTCACTCAGAGCCCGGTTCCCCAAAGCTCTGGCCTGGGAGGTTGACCAGGAAGATGAAAGTCTTTTAGGGATTGGAAGCAATGTCAGCTGAACTGGCTTTTTAGGCTTGCATTCTGTCATTCATCCTCCAGGCTTGCCTTCTGACGTCTACTACACACTACCAACATGAGCCAGGAAGCCCCTCCTACTGTAGTCACAAACTAGCACTCCACCGTCTTCTCTCAGCATTCCTCACTCCTGTATGTGCACACAACTGCTCTTTAAAAACTGCTATGAATATTTTATTAAAGTTGTTAACATTTAAGAGTCCTACATACAATGGAAAAGCAAGTAAACTTTTGAAAAATCTATTAAGGAAAAAAAGATGGCAGGCATTTAAAAAAGTTCTTTGAGCTGAGCATGGTAGCACTTGCCTTTGAGCCAAACACTCAGAAGACAGAGATCTCTGTGAGTTCGAAGCCAGCTTGGTCTACAGAGAGAGTTCCAAATCAGCTGGGCCTATAGGGAGACTCTGTCTCAAAACCAACCAAACACAAAAGTTCTTTTATGCCTAAAGTTTGAAGTAGTTGACATTGTGGCTGTAACTAACAGTCCCAGAACCTAGCCAAGATTGGGAGTGGGCACTCTGCATGTGTGTCTGGGGTCAGTTCATTATAAGGAGTTGGAGGAGTTCCATTAGTCCCTTTTCTCTTTCTCTTAGTCCCCTTTAGTACTGAGTGAGAATTCCTGAGATTCCAGCTCCTCCTCAGATCATGTACCCTTAGAATACTCATGCATGTGTCTGCAAAGATGACATGGGCCTGTGAAATTCATGGGCTTTGCTCATTCATTCATTCAATAGTATCTTTTGAAAAAAAATACTGTAAACCAGACACTATTCTATATGTGTTTAGAGTAGACGGCAGGCACACACAGTCCCCTGACAGAAAGCGGCTGGAAAGCAGATGTGCATGATGGTCTGTGAACAGAAATGGGAACAGCGATGGCCTAAGGGAACACAAAGCAACAGCATAGAACTTGGTATGGAGGGTTTTCCAATGACAGAGAAACTCCATCCAGGACGTGCAAATCAAGCATATATTTCACAAGTTGATAAAAAGAGAAGGGCAATCCAGGGTGAAGGAACCAGATGTACAGGAAGATAGAAAAGAGTGAGAGCACAGCATGCTTGGGGAAGAACAAGCCCCTCCAGGCAGCTGTTGCATGGCCTCTTGTGACAGAAAGGAAGCTATCTCTGTAGTTTTAGAGAACTAGGAAGCAGAGGCAAAAGTTTCTCCACATTCCAAACATCAAGGCAGGGCAACATGCTAGTTGAACAGTGCCTCAGAAAACCACATTGTTAAGTCCACTTAGAAAAATCTATCAGGAAAAAAATCATAATGTGTACTTCAATGCAAAGCATGAACAAATTCACTGTGACCTTTTTTCCTTCCCACTTCCCAAATTCTGTGAACAGGTCAACTCTTAGAGGTGGGGTTTGTGCCTCACTCTTCACTTGGTAGAGATAAAGATGATGTGATCTAGGATGACAGGCGTATGCGTTTGAATTTAAATCCACACACTTTCCTAAGAAATGAAGATGCAAAAGTTTAGAGGGAGCCCCTGTTCGACAAGATCCCCAGGCCCCTCCTAAAGAGAACTTGGGTCTGTGATGCTTCTGTCTTGCTTGCCTGTGTCCCAAACACCCAGGAGTGTTCAATTTGTCCACAGAGAGTTAGGCAAGCAGCCATTTTCTCTAGGCTTCCTTATTTAGCATGGAAGATGGTTTTAAATAGGCAGGTGGTTGTTGCCATGGTTACCCCATTACACCAGCAGCTAAACTTAGGAAGGGCCACAAGGGATAGGAAGAAAGCTTGATACCCAGGATTTGGAAATGTAAACGATATTATCAAACAAGGCTTCATTTCACTGGGCTGAACTTAGTTTCTTCAAAGAGTAGTTACTGCTTGGCTGGAAGCCTTTAGCATTAGTGCCTAAGACTGGACCCTCAGGGATAATCTTGAGACTAAAAATAGAGAGTTGTAATTGGTCTATTTTGTTTTGTTTTCAACAAGAGAGTGTGAATAGTCAGGGCTACAATTTATCTAGGGAAACCTGAACCCTTCACATTGTTAGTCTTTTGGGGGTGGAGATGGGGGCTTTTCTAATAATTCTTAACCAAAGGTCCAGAGGCTTCAGGGGTTCTGAGAATACCTCAAAATTGTACCTAAGATTGTGTGTGTGTGTGTGTGTGTGTGTGTGTGTGTGTGTGTTGGAGAGACTGACCAACCATGAGAATGCTCTTAAAGGGACCCAAAACCTCTAAATGGTTAAAAGTCAGCTTTTCAAAGCCTCTGAATTCTAAGATGCATCAAATTATGACTCAGTTGTTGGGATTTCTGGAAATTCTTCCCCCAGTGGCCTCTCTACACTAGTAGTTGCCAAGGAAAGTAGTTAGTTTTATGAAGCCAAGTGACCTCCCCAGTGGCTTTGTTAATGGTGCAAAAGCCAGCCCAGGGGGCAATATGAGGGATCTTGGCAATCTTGGGCCGCTTCTGCCACCCAGTCATCAGCACGGTCATTGCTAGTTCTTAATTTAGCAATATTATAGCATTATGAAAATTAGCATCTTGTCAGCATAAAGGCACAGAGGTTTAACTCAACTGAGATTCTAATGTGTTAGAAAGTACCTGAGATATGGTCCCTGCCTTTAAGAAATTCATAGTCTGGCAAAGAAGGGAATATTTTTACAAATTATTTTTACACACAGGAATTTACATTTAATAAGTCCTCAAGTAAACAGGAAGTTATTGAAACACTTCAATGTCACATCTCAAACCTCACTCCTAAATAATTGTTTTTTAATGTAGAAATCAAAACTAAGGTAAGCAAATGAAGAATTGTCATCAATTTTGAGCTCCTCTTAGATGCCAAACTGTTAACCAGGTATTTTATAATACATTAAATTAGTTAAATCTCTAGGAAACCTTATAATATAAATGTTGGCCTTCTCATGTTGTAACATATGAAATAAAGGAACTGAGCCTGGACGAAAACAAGTCACAGACTAGCTTTTAAGCAGCAAGGTTGATTTTTACCCACCTCTTAATTCCAGAGTTCAGCCTGCTGTCTCTCCTATGGTTTGTTCATCTGGTCACTTTTTAAAATTTTTTTTATTTATTTATTTTTATTTTATGTGCATGAGTGTTTTGCCTGCATGTATATAAGTACACCATGTGCATACAATGCCAGCAGAGGCCAGAAGCGGATGTTGGATGCCCTGGAACTGGAGTTATAGACAATTGTCAGCTGCCATGTAAGAGCTGGGAACTGAACCCAGGTCCTCTGCAGGAGTAGCCAGTGCTCTTCACCCCTGAACCATCTCTCTAGGCCCTGTTCCCTTTTTTAAAAAAAAAAAAAAATTTATTTTAAGGGACTAGAGAGATGGCTCAGTGTTTAAGAGCACTGGTTGCTCTTGCAGAAGACCCAGGTTCGAATCCCAGCACCCACATGGCAGCTAACAACCATCCTTAATTCCAGTTCCAGGGTATCCGATGCTCTCTTCTGTCCTCCATGGCCATTGAACAACACGGGTACACTTATACACATGCAGGCATAATGCTCATATACATAAAATATAAATAAAGAAAATCAAAAAAAAGATTCATTTTAAATATTTTTAATTATTTGAAGTTTGGTCCTGGAAAGATGGCTTAGCAGTTAAAAGCACTGGCTGCTCTTGTAAAGGACCAAGATTTGGTTCTCAGCACCCACATGGCAACTAACAACCATCTGTAAATGCCCTCTTTTGGCCTCCCCAGGCATTGCACAGATGTGGTGCACTTACATACATACAGGTATACACATAAAAATAAATAAAAAGATTTATTTAGAAAGAACTTGAAGTTTGTAAGCAAGCATTAAACTAAGCCAAGCTCAGGGCCTGGGAGTGACTACACAGATGTTACACCTATGAGCAGGTCATGGCAAGAGAGAGGAATTCATAAAAAGAAGGCACATTTGTCAGTGCTTGCAGAGTAGACAATTTTCAAAAGAGGTAAAAAAAACGGGGCAAAAAAAGCTTTCAACTAGGGGAGGAAA